AAAGGAGGGCGCTTCCTCTTGCCATTAGTTAACATGGCGTCCGCGGCGACGGCACGCAGCGCATGCGCATTTGCGTGCGAGCAGCCAGGCGCGGGAGGGGAAGGCGGCTCCTCCTTCCTCCCATTGCCCCCATTTCCGGCGGAAGCGGCCTCAACAAGAGAAACTTTATTGTTCCCGTTGGGGCGGCGAGGATGTCGGTGAATTACGCAGCGGGGCTGTCGCCTTACGCCGATAAGGGCAAGTGCGGTCTTCCCGAGGTGAGCGCGACCGGGGTGTCCGAGGCCGGCCCTCTGGGATGCTGAGCCGGCGGCACCCGGCTGCAGCGGGGCATTGTGGGAATATCATGAGGCACCGAGGCTAGACAATGGGAGGGACTTCCCAATGAGGAGGGGGCGGGAAGTGACGCCCCCTGCGCGCCCCAGGACGCGGACACGCCCAGCTGCCGGTCAGCCTTGCTGGGACTGAGGCGAGGACCTGCTGGCCGAATTCTTGAAGTCATGAGGAGGGAGCAGGGCTTGTAGCTCCAAACAGAAGGCACTGCAGAGGCAAAGGCGGGGAGGTGGGATTAAACACACTTGGAAAGCAGATGCATCAGAGCTTTTCAGAGCCGTAACAGGACTCCAATGCCAAGCTGGGCAGTTAGCACAACCCTAAGGGGATGGAGAGGGGTTTTGAGCTGGGAGGGGCTTGGATGGATGTCAGTGTGGGTCAGAAGAACACCCTCAGACCCTGGGGCGGGGAGTGGAGGGGTAGTCACTTCTCTTCACTCCCGTACATAGGGGTGTTAAGGAGCATGGGCTCTCTACCTGACATCCTGCTTATTATGACACTAGGATTTTGAGCAAAACAAGCTTTATTGTGAATTGATTGGCAAGGAATCTGGAGATTAAACTAATCTGCCTCCTCCACCAAGGTTGTATGAGGTCATATAGGTTTAGGGAAGGGGGTTGAGAACAAAGGAGTTAAATTTTATCGGTTAAAGAGAGTGTTAGGGGCAAAGAAATGTGGGCTTGGCTGAAGTTCTTTGGCCAGTTCCATGAGAGTTCAGACATGAAAAAACACAAGGAAACTTTTCTTCAGATCACTGGAATTTTGAATTTCTGTTGTGGATCCCTCCCTTCTGGGTAGCCCTTCTCCTCTGCATTTTTGTCTGTCAACTCCTACTGACTTTGGAGCTCAGTTCAAGATTAGGCAGTGATCCTCCAGGCTTTGCTGTGTCTGCAAAAGCTAGTCTCAGAAAAGTTCAGATTTTTTTTTCTTTTGTGCTTTGGGGTCTAAAGGCAATTTAACATCATTTGCCTCAGTTACAGGGGGAGGCTTGCCCTAACCCACAACGGCTTGCTAATCAACTCTCAGATGGGTGAATCCCACCTGAAGATCCATTGGATTCTCCTGCCTGAAAAACATTTCTCCTGCCCCCAGAAACTGTGGTAGGCACTTTCCAGGTTCTGGGGCCATGCAGGGAAAAAGATAGTAGACATTTCCCTCCTTCTAGCAGGGAGACAGGCAAATAGCAAATAAATATAAGAAGACAGATGGCGGTAATTGCTAGGGAGAAAAATCGGAGGAATGAGGAGATCTGGGAGCTGCATTGAAACAAAGGCGACCCAGGATGCATCAGTGAACTGACTTTTTCTTAATTTTCTTTTATCACGGTAAAATCTACATAATATAAAGTTACCATCTTAAGTTCAATGGTTTTAAAACTACTCATGATGTTGTGCAACCACCCCCACCATCCATCTCCAGAACTTTCGCATCTTCCCAAACAGAAACTCTGTCCCCGTTAAACATGACCTCTCCATGCCCCAGCAGCCCCTGACACCCACCATCTATTTCCTGTCTGTATGGATTTGACTCTCTAGGGGCCTCCTGTGAGTTGGAATCACATTGTGTTTATTCTTTTGTGCCCGACTTATTTCACTGAATATCATGTCTTTGAGGTTCATCCATGCTGTAGCCCGAGTCAGAGTTTTCGTCCTTTTTTATGACTGAATGATATTCCAGTGTATGCACGGGCCACACTGTGTTTCTCCATTCATCCATCAGTAGACATTTGGGTTGCTGCCATGTTTTAGCTATTGTAAATAATGCCACGAAGAGTATGCAAGTGAGATATCTTTTAAGCCAAGACCAAAGTGAGGTGAGGAAGGGAGTCAAGTGGGGAGCTGGAATGGCCATGGCAAAGCCCGTGAGGCAGGACCACACCTGGCGTGTTGCAGGAACAGCACGTGGCTGGAGCAGAACGAGGGGGGACTAGGAGCAGGTTGTGCAGGGCCAAGCTGGCCACTGGGAGGTCTTGGGCTTTTACCTCAAGGGCGTGGGAGCCCTGGAGGGTTCTAGGCAGAGGAGGCACTAGCTGCTTTTTCCAGTCCCTTCTCTACCCCTGGGCAAGGTGGAGGCAGGTCACTCTGGTTAGTTGCCTTGCCACTGTGGGACACATTTTGACCCCTCCCTTCTGCTCTATCTCCCCATAGATCTTCGACCCCCCAGAGGAGTTGGAGCGGAAGGTGTGGGACCTGGCACAACTGGTGTGGCAGTCCTCCAACGTGGTGTTCCACACTGGTGCCGGCATCAGTACTGCCTCGGGCATTCCGGACTTCAGGTCTGTGAGCACTGGGAATGTCCCTTAGGGTCAAACCCAACATTCCTGGCATACCCCATTGGTTAGAACCTGGTCACGTGGCTTAGCTACAAGGGCTGCTGGGAAAGTCTTTTGACTGGGCTCACTGTGTATGGCTAAATGAATATTGGGGCTCTACTATTACCATAGAAAATGGGGAGAATCATTATCAAGGGCTATTCCACATTCACTGACAAATATTTTTTATTAGGTAAGCGGCTTAACTCTGGACCTCAGTTTCTTCACCTGTAAATGAGGGTGTGAGACCAAATAATGTCTAAGCTCCCCTCTGCTTCAGGCAACCTGTGTTAGATCAGAGGCTCGTTGCTGGGGTCTCAAACTGGTGGCCCCCTCAGTGCTGTTTGCATCCCTGCTCCAGAGCAGGCCTGGCACATCTGTGTTCTCTCCATGGCTGCTCAGGGCCCAGCTTGGACTCTCACAGCAGGAGTGCAGACCCCCCTCCACAGCACCCCCATAATCTGCCAGGGCTCCCCATTGCCACGCAGAAGAGTTCCAAGCATTTCTGGTGGGAAATTGAAGCGCTTTCTCAGCCAATCCTGGGTCATCTCCCCAATCTCAGCTCCTGTTGCTCCCCCTATAGCCCACAGACCACTTGTATTTCCCCAAACTTGTGGGGCTGTTGCTAGCCTCCAGGCCTTTGTTTACCACTCCTACCTGAGCCACCATGCCCTTTCATTTCGTAATTCAAGAGGCAGCTCAGCTTTCTCGAGAAAGCCTTCCCACACTCCACACAGCCCTTGCAGCTCACTAGGCCACCTCAGCCCCAGGTTCTTCTTTCTGTTCTAGCCCCACAGGGCTGGGGGGTTCTGTGTCACCTGTGTCCTCTCCCGATCAAGGATTCCGCCGGGGCAGGACCCTGCTATCACCCAGCACCATACCAGGCTTAGAGCAGCAGCAGTGAAGTGTTGGTTAAATTGAATCATTTTTGCCCTCCTGTACCACATTCTTCCTTCTTCCTTCCCTTCCTGTGTTCTCCCTCCCTGCCCCCATCTTGCTCTCTCCTCTGTCTTTCTGTTTGTCTCTGTCTCTCCTAAGTTCTTTTTTTTTTTTATAGAGGCATGTTTTTATTTATTTATTTGTTTGTTTGTTTGTTTATTTGTTTCGTTTATACATGCACTGGGTACAGTCAGAAGCACGGGAGGGTGAGAGAATTCACCAGAGCCAGAGCAGGGAGCAGAGCAGGCAGAAGGACCGAAGTACACTGCTGAGGGGGCAGCGGGCGGCAGGGGAGGTCTGCGCACCATGTGGGACCCTCCTCCGGTGGCCGGGAGCAGCCGGGGATTGAACCGGCGCCACAGAGGCCGCGGGCAGCTTCACAACCCAGCGCTCAACCACTGCGCCACTGGGGAGGCCCTTCTAAGTTCTTTTTTTTAAAGATTTATTTTATTTATACAAGAACTGGGGTACAGGCCAGAGGCACGGGAGGGTGAGAGAATTCACCAGAGCAGAGCAGGGAGCAGAACAGGCAGATGAACCAAAGACACTGCTGAGGGGAGCAGTGGGCGAGACAGAAGAGGTCTGCCGCGCCATGCACGTGTCTCCCTGGCCAACCGGGAATTGAACCAGCGCTGCAGAGTATGCGAACATCCTCACAGCGCTGCGCTCAACCCGCTGCGCCACCGGAGAGGCCCCTAAGTTCTTTTTGTGTCACTGTTACTGTCTCTCTCTGTCTTTTATTTCTGTTTCCAATTTTCTTTGTCTTTCTCTCTCTCTGATTTTTCTCTCTGTCTCTGATTTTCTGTCTGTTTTTTCTGCCACCTGATGATACCGGAAATAGACCAGATTCTGGTGCTGCCTGTCACTATGGAAAGCCAATAGGCAGAGACAGGAATTGAATCCATAGCCACTTTTATTTTTCAGATTGCTGGACAGTGATCTGGGAGAACAGTAGGTATAACCCCTGGCCAGGGGGTGGGGGCCAGGGATGGTGGCCAGCACACTGCAGAAACTGTTCTGCCATCTCATTTCTAGCTGGCTTTTTGTATGATGAGTCGGACGAAGACCACTGGTCATAAGCCAGCACCCCATCAGATCAGTCCATCGCAGTTGATTTTTCCTGTATCCATCATGTTCAGCCCCCACAGTTTGTTACCAGCCTGCGGGTTATCTTGTCCCTGGTACATCTGTAGGGGTCAATGTCTAACACTCCTTCCAGCATCACTGGGGCAGGAATCTCAGTTTAAAGAAAGCATTTTAGTTAAAAAAAATAAAAATAAAAATAAAATGCTTGCTTTAAACTAAGATTCCTGCCCCAGCGGTGCTGGAAGGAGTGTTAGACATTGACGCCTCCTAACACTAATTGCCTAATTCCTAAACTCTCTCTCCCGTCCCTGCCACCTTCAGGGGCCCTCATGGCGTCTGGACCATGGAGGAGCGGGGCCTGGCCCCCAAGTTCGACACCACATTTGAGAGCGCCCAGCCCACGAAGACCCACATGGCGCTGGTGCAGCTGGAGCGCGTGGGCCTCCTCCGCTTCCTGGTCAGCCAGAATGTGGATGGGCTGCACGTGCGCTCCGGCTTCCCCAGGTAACAGGTGACTCTCACCATGCTGGACCGTGGGCAGGCCTCCCCTTTCTCTAGGCCGTGGTTCCCTCACCTGTAAAATGGGTCTTGATGGAAGCCCCTCCTTTAAGCTTATGTGATGATTCAGCAAGGCAGCCAGGGAGAGCGTTCAGTCCTTCGTAAACCCACGCTGTCACCTTCAGCACCTCCTGGGCACCTCTCCGGAACTGGCCTCTCCTTTCCTGGACCGTGGGCATCCCCACCCTGAACTGTCTAGATCTCTGTTCTCTGGTGCATGGCGGCATCTGAGCCCAGGCCATCTCTTGGCATTGCAGCTCAGCCAGAAGTGGCTACAAAAGCTCCCTCCCCTGGGGCCTGGCCAGGGGTTGGGGGCTGGGGGTGGTGGCCAGCATCTAGAATTTGCAGTTGGGTTTTAATATCTGTCTTTATTACTTTTATACTGCCTGTGACCATGACATCTGGGTAGAGAGACTGAGTCCTTAGCATTAAGGGTTCTGCCCTTCCTTACCCCACCTTGCCTGAGCCTTGCTGGGCATGGGGGATAACAGCACATTCACTGGTTTATATGAGTGGCCGGACGCTCCACAGGCAAGGAGGGGTGAGGGAGAGGACTTGTCTCTGTAAAGGCGGCTGTCCCCTGCCCTGCTGAAGTGGGCCTGACTCCTGACTCTAGCTAGCCCTTTGCCATAGAAATGAATTTTCTCCCGGAGTCAGGTAGCTCTTACAACCTGGAGATGCTGCCAAGTCCTGCGGCTTCATGCCTTTCAACGTAAATACCTGAGAAAACAGCACTCCAGTGTCCACCGCTGGGCTTACGGGGGCCCTGGTCTGGGCTGTGGCCTTTCTGGTCAGAGGAATTCACTTAGATGGCTACAGACCTGACTCTTAAGACCTGTGTAGACATTTCTAGAAATGAAAGAAAACGTTCTCTCACTTTATAGCTAATACATTTCCATGGCCTTGGAGGTAAGAAATCCAGGGGCGTTTGTTTCCACACACAGCTGGATAACGAGGTGGCATGGGGTGTGTAGGCAGATTGGAAGGGAGGCAAAGCAACCTTTTGACTTCTTGGAGCTGGGAGGGATTATTGGGGAGAGATAGGTGAGTGGGGAGTTTGAACGGGGAAGTCTGAGAGGCTGCATATTGGAACAGGGACATGAAGGGAGCCAAGGAGCAGAGCCATCCGGCTTGGTTGTTGTTCCCCCAAAACAAGTCTAGGGTTGGACATTGTTGTCCCATTTCATAGATGGAGGCTGAGGCACAGGGAGGTTAAGTGACCTGCCCAGGGTCACATAGCTGAAAAACAACAGTGCTAGGAGTTGATCCCATGTTCTTCTGCCTCTGAAGTCCATATGTCAGGGCCACCCAGTGCCTAAGTCCTCCTTGCAAACTGGAAACAAGACTTTCTGTCCTTTGGAGCTGACCTCATTGGGGGCTTCTAACACATTCGTGGATGGAGTTTGTGAATACACTGCCCTCATGTGAAGGTGGGGTCAGCCTCGGGGGTTCAGAGATGTTGGGCTATCTGCTCAGGGTTGCACAGCATGGATGGTGGAGTCAGAGCTGGAGGAGCTGGAGAAAGGGAGCCCTTGGGGCTTGCAGATAAGGGATTGGGGGGGTTTCCTGGAGGAGACAACCTGAAGCCTCGGGATTCGGGGATCCCACTGCCTACCAAGGCTCTTCCTTCTTCTTCCACAGGGACAAGCTGGCAGAGCTCCACGGAAACATGTTTGTAGAAGAATGTGCCAAGTGTAAAACGTGAGTGCCGTGTGGCAGTGGGGCCCCCTATGGCATCATTCCCCAGTTAGGCTCTGCAGAAGGGCCTTGTGAGTTGAACCTGGTATTCCCAGAGACTTGCGGGATGGGATGAGACTTGGAAGGGGGGTTGTCTTCCTTCTGTGGTGGTGTATTTGTTTCCGGTGGCTGCTGTAGCAAACTCAGTGATGTACAGCAGCCGTCTGATAGTCTGGAAGCCAGAATCTAGAAAGGAAGGTGTTGCACGAAGGGAGTGCTCGCTCTGAAACCCACAATCCTACCCTGCCTCTTCCACCTTCTGGTGGCTTCCAACACCCATGGCCATAGACACCTCACTCCTGCCTCTGTCCGTTGTTATGTGCCCCTGTGTCCCCTCTTATAGACACCAGGGCCATGTGGATTAAGGGTCATCCTTCCCCAGCATGACCTCATCTGAACTCATCACATCTGCAAAGATCCTGCTTCCAAATAGGTCACATTGTGAGGTCCTGGGAGTTAGGACCCCAACATACCTTTTTGGCTGTAGAGTGTGACCCCATTTTGGGGAGGCTGAACCAGAGCCCCTCCTGGAGCAGGTAGGCTGTGGCTGTCTCCCCCTGCTGGGTAAGCAGCCTCACAGGAGTGGGTTCCTTGGGGGACACCTCCCTGCAGGAGGACGCTCTGCGATCACACCACACGTGGGGCCCCCACATTAAAAACTTTTCTCCAGAATTTTTGGGAAAAATTTCAAACCTATAGAAAACTCACGAGAATTTTCCAATGGTTCACCTAAACCAAGAAGTAATGACTTTTTCTCTCAAGGGCCAGATAGATATTCCCAGCTTCGTGGGCAGGCATGACCGTCGTGACTGCTGGCTCTGCCCTTGTCTGGCCAGGAGCACACCTGGGAGCGGGTGTGCCAGCACAACTTTCTGTACAGAAGCTGGGTTTAATCCTGGGCCCCAGAGTTTGCTGGTCCCCTCCCGGGCTGGTTAGATAATTGTGACAAATTCGCCACAGTGTGTTTTTCCTTCTGTCTCTGTTACTAGTATTCCCTGCCTGTTGGAAAGCAAAGTGACAGACTGCCTCCCCCTCTGCCTCTAAACTACAAGGAGCCGCACTGTTCTCTCCCACAGCCAAAGTGCAGACATTAAAGTTGGGCAATGTGATTCCATCCCCAGTGCGCCCACCGCCACTGGTGCTCTCCTGGCCCAGGGTCATGCTTTGCATGCCATTGTCATGTCTTTTGTCTCAATCTACAACACTTTCTGACCTCTTATTTCCATGCTGCTGACATTGTGAAGCAGCCAGGCCAGCTGTTTCCTCATGCTCACATTCCCTCCCCGCTCCCTGGGAGAAAATCTGGGGCTAAAGAGGCAGGCCGTGGGCTGACCGCACCGACCCACCGTCTCCTCCCCCACACAGGCAGTATGTCCGGGACACCGTCGTGGGCAGCATGGGCCTCAAAGCCACTGGCCGGCTCTGCACAGTGGCCAAAGCAAGAGGGCTGAGGGCCTGCAGGTGAGTGACCCCTCCCAGTTTCCTGCAGGGGGGTGGTTGCTGTGTGTCCACACTGACTCTTCCACCCCACCTTCACCATGGCAGGGGGGAGCTGAGAGACACCATCCTGGATTGGGAAGACGCCCTGCCTGATCGGGACCTTACTCTCGCAGATGAGGCCAGCAGGTCTGATCCCCATACGAGCCCAGGGTGGGGCTGGGGGAGAACAGTGAAAACACAGCCAGCTCCAGCACTGAGCAGGGGACTCCAGCCCAGAGGTAGTGTCAGGGAAGACTTCCTGGAGGAGGAGTCCGGCACCTTCTTTGGGCCTGTTTCCCCCAGATCATGGCAGCTTTTATGTCCTGAGCCTTCCCACACACCTGGCCCTGGCTTTCACATACTCCAGGCCTTCCCATAGCCTGAGGTGGCTGCTGCTTCTGGCCCATTTTATGGGCAAGAATACAGGCTTTGGCAAAGTGACCTCTCCGTCCAGTGTTACTTAGATGAGAAGTAACTGAACTGGGGTTCAAGGAGCCCAGCTATCAAAGCTTCTGCCCAGATCAACAGGGTAGGGCGGTGGCTCAGGCAGAAGACTAATGGCAAGGGCAGGATTCAGGGACGTTGGGACTGGCTTGGGAAGCATAGGCCTTTGAGAGCAGAGATGGGTGTAGTATGAGCCCAGGTCACTGCGCTGGTGTCTTGGCACCCGAGGGGGGCTGAGGCTATGGGGTTGAGGGAGATGTCAGCATCCCCATCAGCCTCTTGGGCAGGAGAAGGCTGCAGAAGCCTTCAAGGAGGGGCTCAGGGTAACCCCTTCGCCTGGCCCCAGGAACGCAGACCTGTCAATCACTTTGGGCACCTCCCTGCAAATCCGGCCCAGCGGGAACCTGCCATTGGCCACCAAGCGCAGAGGAGGCCGGCTGGTCATCGTCAACCTTCAGCCCACCAAACACGTATGTGCGGGAGCCTGCCCCTGACATTCCCTGGTCCCGAACCCCCACAAGACCCGGCCTCCACTAGCTCTTCCCGTCTTCCGTAGGACCGCCACGCAGACCTGCGCATCCACGGCTATGTAGACGAGGTCATGACCCGGCTCATGAAACACCTGGGCCTGGAGATTCCTGCCTGGGATGGCCCCCGCGTGCTGGAGAAGGCATTGCCGCCTCTGCCCCGCCCGCCTGCCCCCAAGCTGGAGCCCAAGGAGGAGGCACCTGCCCATCCCAGCAGCCCTGCGCCCGCCAGTCCCAAGCAGGAGCCCAAAGCCGAGCCTTGCACACAGCACAACGGGTCAGGGCCTACTAGCCCCAAAAGGGAGCAGCTGGACAGTCCTGTCCCCCACAGCCCCCCAAAAGGGTGAAGGCAGAGGTGATTCCCAGCTGACCAGGGGACTCAGGGGAGGGTGGAACTTTTTTGTAGAAACCACGGTTTTGTTTTCTAACAAACACTTTGTTACTTGTTTCTCCCCTTTGAGGGGTACAATTCAGTATGCCGAGAGTGAGGTTCCAAGTCCTGGGGCAGTTTTGCCTTTGTGTCTCTCTTTGGCTTTAAGGGCTTCTGGTGGGTACCTGGGAAAGAGCACCCACTGCTCCCCACACCTTGGACCGTGACCTTGGAGCTGACACCCCAGGCACCTGCACTGCCCCATGCCTCAGCCCCTGACTCAGGATGCTCTGGGGAAATATGCCTTGCCGGGCCCTGGTTTCCAGACTAATGGGGATATTACCCCCCTCTGCCCCTTGGGCTCTCACACTCCTCAACTCCTGCCTCCCCAAGACACTTCACAGCCCCTCAAGGAAGGGAAGGAGGCAGAATCACTCTTTGGGGGACAAACTCAGGCTGGGACAGTATGGAGGCCGCACTCACTGCCTTTGGGGCTGGAAGGAGAACTGGGTGGGCCCACCTGGCGTCCTCCAGACTTCCCAAAGTCTTCAATGCAATAAAAGAACTTGCATATGAGTCTGTGTTTAATTTACACTACCTAGATCCTGGGCCCTGAGGACAGGAATGTGTGGCCAGCACAGTGGAAATTTCTGTGCAACCCCCGCCTGTTGTGAATGAGGGTGATGCTGAAGCTGGAGGTCCTTGAGCCCTTAGTTTGTAATTACAAACTTGTATGTGTGATTTTTTAAAATATTTGCCTTCCTCTAGTAGCCCGTGAGCTCCTCGAGGAGACTGGACACATCTTTAAGGCGCGATTGCTGCTCCCTGAGCGCCTGCGCACGGTGGGAGGGGTTGGGGAGGAGAGAGAGGGGCAGGACGGCTCGTTGAGGAGACAGCGCTGGCTCGGCCCGGCCCATTCCTCCGCGGTTGTGACCTTGGGCTGGTCATTTCGCTACCGACCCTTCAGTTTCTCGATCGGTAAAACAAGCAAGGTGGAAGGCTGCGCCGACCCCTTTGAAAACACTCTTACAGAGACCCTGGAGCGCCCCCAGAGCCTTCAGACCACGCGCTCCGGGCGCGCCCTTAGCGCCACCGCCGCTCTCCGAGGTGCTGAAGGTGCGCCTGGCAGCTCGCCGGCCATAGCTCCAGAGGCGGCTGGTAGAGTGCGTTCTGGGGTACCCGCACCTCACTCCCCTATCCCAGACTGGCCTAGCCCCTACTCGAGATCTGGAGCCCCTAGACCCCACTTCAGCCCCATCCCAATGCCTCTGTGCCAGCTGTGTTCTGTCAACAATATTTTATTAAGGATTAACAGCAGTTTTAGAAAAGGGAATCGCCATGGGCCGTGGCCACCCCGAATTTGGAACCCAGCTCATTCTCTGGAGCCAGGATCCCTGCGGTCTTAGCTGCTTCCTCCTCCCAGTGCGACCGGCCGGGCAGGGAGGCGTCCCGGGCAGGGAGCTGGTGAGGCATGCTGTGCCAGTGTGGTTGCTTGGGTCTGTGGCTCAGTCTGCATGCGCCTGCCTGTCTCTGCCGGCTGGGTCAGTGTATTTCTTAAGGCTTTGTGGCCTTGCTTTTGAGCATCAGTTTCTGCAGGTGTCTGGGTCCCGGGAGAGTGTGAATTTGTGCATGGCCATCCTGGCATGTCCACTGCATCTCCACCTTGCCTCCAGTCCCCACACCTGTTGTCCACTGAGTATGCACTGAAGTGGTCCTGGGCAGAGGGGCCTGGGGCATGTCTGGGTCGTGCTCACAACTCCTCCCCTGCTGCCTCCAGACCCAAAAGCCCTGGGCTGAACACTGGTTTAGGCAAGGCCCAGTCCAGCAAGGTGGCCCAGTCCAGCAGGGAGGCCCAGTCCAGCTCCATTATGTTGCCCTGGACCAGGGTCGAGTTGTCCAGTTCCTCTGTCGAGTTGTCCATAGCTTGCACGTCTTGGGATTCCCAGTCTGCCCCAGGGCTTCCTGGAGGGTCTTCTTGGGGTGTGCCAGTCTTGAGCTGGGGTCCTGGAGCATCGGAGCCTGGCGTGATGTCGGGGGCCACACGGGATGCAGCGTCGTTGTGCAAAGTTCTGGAGAAAACTGAGCAAGGGTTTGGAGGCCATGAGGGCTGGAGTAAAGGGCTGGTATCCCTTCTTCCCTAGCCCACAGCCTCAGAGGCACGGTATGGGGGCTTGTCCCAGGGGATTGAAGTGGGAGCCCACTTACCTCGCACAGGTGCGAAATCTCCGGGGCTCTCCGCTTTGTTGGGGGTGAAGGGGCTGATGGAGGGGAGGACGATGAGGGCGAAGGAGAGCAGCAGAACCTGGCAGAGATGGGGGTGGGGTCACCCCATCCCACTCCCTCCCCTGCAAGCTTGCTCATCTCATGGGCAGGGAAACTGACACCCAGAAGACTGACTGGGGCGTGAGCTGGGGCTCAGGACCGGGCTCCTACTCCTCTCACCTCCCCGCTGCAGTCCTTCTGCCAAGGCCTGGGAACCACCTTATGGACAATTGGGGCCAGCAGAATTGGGGCCAGGACTTACAGCTATGCAGGTGCCCGTTTGGGCCGACTTGTTGGTGGACTGTACCACAATGGCCTGCAGCTTCTTCAACTGCTCCAAGAGGGACCTTGGAAGGAGCAAGCAGACTTTGCTGAGCCATACAGGACCTGGATCTGGCTCCCCATTCATATCTAGGGACCCCCCCCAACCTGGTTGATGTCTGAATTTCACCTCTGAAGACTCTGCTGCTCTCAAAAGTCTCAGATCCTCCCTCTTTGAGTCAATAAATCATAGAACACCCCACCCACTTCTTTGCCACTCCTCTCCCACATCCAGTCACCATCATGGCTCCTGGAGGTCAGCCCAGCCCCTGCTGCCCCCCTAGGTTTCAAGCTCCATGCAGCAGCCCAAGGGTGCTTTCGATTGCAGATTCACTTCTCCCAGCCCTCCCAAGGCTCTCATCCCTTTAGAGTGAAAAACCTAAGTTTCCCCTGTGGCCCACAAGTCCTTGCATGACCCGCCCCTATTCCCCCCTGCCCTCGGCACCTCCCTCTTCCCCTTTGGATAACTCTGCTCCAGCTAAATTGTTCTCCTTGCTGTCCTGTCCTTCAACACACAAGCATTGCTGTCTCAGGACCTTTGCACTGGCTGTTTCTTCTGTGCCAAGGACATGTTCCTCCAGCTCATTTTGTAGCTGGTTCTTTCTCATCCATCATGTCTCATAGGTGTCCCCCACCCCAGGACCTTTACTCTGCTTTACTTTACTGTGGCTATCATTATTTGAATAATCTTTTGTATATTTTTGTCTTGAGTATGTCTCCTACTGGACCATGAGTTCTTTAAGTGGAGGGACTGTGTCTGTTTTCTTCCATGTTGTGGTCATAGTGCCAAGAACGATGCCTGGTGCAGAGTAGATGCTAAACAAATATTAAATGACACACCCCTTAGATAGAATCACCTGTAGTTATCCAATATGCTGCGCCCCTAACCTTTAGCCATTGTATGTGCCATTTCTTCCACTGGGAGCAGTTTTTCCCTAGTGAACTCTTAAACATCCTTCAAGATCCCAAATACAAATTCCCTCCTCCATGCCACTTGCTTCATTTTCATATGGAGCCCTTAACCACTGCTCTCTCCTGCCATCAGACAAGTGGTCCCCACCCATGTCCATCATCCTGAAAGAGACTCTGGGAACTACCCCCCTTCTCTGCCCCAGTTAGACCAAGACTCACAGGTTCTGCTTCTCAAGCTGTAAGACCTTTCTCTGAAGTTCCTGGTTCTGAGCAGTACAGGCTGACATTCTGCAGGGAAAATGCCAGAGTGAAATTCAGAACATGCCTGTCACCATCCAAGTGATGTCTCCCTGTGAGGCCCCACTTTACAGGCAAGGAACCTCAGGCCAGAGAAGGAAGCCACTCAGCCAGTCACTTGGCAAGTCTGTGATGGCCAGGATTCGAACCCAAGAACCCTGATCCTCATTCCCAACTCTGCATTGATGTGGGTGGCTTCATTCAATTCTGAGCCCACAGGGTTGGGAAGGGAAGACCAAATTCAGGCAGTGTTGCTTTCAGAATATGGCATAGCAGGGCGATCAGGATTCAAGGAGACCTGAGTTGTAATCCTCAACTTGCCTGTGACCTTACTTTCTTACTCAACCCCCTCATCTGTAAAATGGAGATAATTAACTAGCTCATAGAGTGAGAGGGAGAATTATATGAAATAAAATTGGTAAGGGGTTTAGCAGATTGCCATTGAAGAATAAAACCATGGTGATCATTTCCTCCTGGGTTCTGGGGTCCAGGCTGGGGGATTCTACATTTCCCATCCACATCCATCCATGAATGTATTTTTTGGGCCAGATCACTCAGATGTGGAGTTGAAATACTCAAATCAGGGGATGAGGATGAGCATGAGTTGGGTACATCTCCACCCCCAAAGCAGAGGTGTGTGGATCATGAGACATGCAAATGTGGGGGCAGAAGTTTTATAGGGAACTTTTGGATAAATCCCCATCTTGAGACCTGAGGACTCTTAGACGTGCCATAGACCTGCCATATTGGACAGCAGATGCAATTACATACTTTGTTCTCCTGGAAGGAAAATGAGAATCTAGGGTTCCTTTTCCAGAAGAGAAATCAAGAATATCTCATCCAGGGGAGAGAACAGACTCCCTCCCACCACCACAGAAAGGCTCTTCTATAAATGTAAACTACATGACAATGACAATAATATAAAACAAAATGTGTGAGATGAAGCTAAAGCAGTGCTAAAAGGTAAATGGATAGTCTTACAATATTCAGCAACCTGAGCAGACACATTTTCAAATTAGCAAAAAATAAAAAGATAAGGAAGATGGAGGTAGGGAGAAGGAGGAGGACGAGGCAGAGAAGAATCTCCCTGAAAAATAAAGCAGCAAGAGCAGATGTAATAAATATCTTTCTAGCTGAAAGAACTAGAAAACAGGGCCTCCCTGGTGATGCAGAGGTTGAGCGCTGGGTTGCGAAGCTGCCTGCAGCCTCTGCAGCACCGGTTCGATCCCTGGCTGCTCCCCGGCCACCGGAGGAGGGTCCCACATGGCGCACAGACCTCTCCTGCCGCCCGCTGCTCCCCTCAGCACTATACTTCGTCAGTCTGCCTGTTCTGTTCTCCGCTCTGGCTCTGGTGAATCCTCTCACCCTCCCGCACTTCTGACTGTACCCAACGCTTGTATAAATAAATAAATAAATCTTTAAAAAAAAAAAGAAAACAAAAATACAATTAGGTGGGAGGAAAAACCAGTACTTCATCCTCTGAAAAGATTAATAAACAAACTGGTGAAACTGGTCAAGATAAAGAAGAGAGAAAGCAAGAGCTATTAAATAACTAGACAGCACAGAGAGTAGAAATAATAGTGGAGAATTAAGAACAATTTCATGTCGGACCTCCCTGATGGCACAAGGGGTTAAGAGGCAACCCATGAAGCTATCTTCAGCCACTACAGCACAAGTTCAATCCCCGGCCAGGGAGATACCCACATGGTGCAGCAGACCTCTCTGTCTTGCCTGCTGCTCCCCTCAGCAGTGTATTTCAGTCAGTCTGCCTGTTCTGCTCCCCACTCTGTCTCTGGTGAATCCTCTCACCTCCCCCCACACACACCTCTGGCCTGAACCCTAGCTCTTGTATGCATAAATAAATAAATCTTTAAAAAAGAGAGAGAGAAAAGAACAATTTGATGTCAATAAATTTGAAATGGATGACTTCCCTGGAAGCTATGACATCCCAACACTGACTCAGGAAGAAATAGAAAAGTCACATAGACCTATAATGTTCAGTAAAGTCACTCTTGTTTTAAGCAGGGAGCTCATCCCAAGCTCACTTTATGCGTCTGTTACAAAATAAAATGGAGCTATCCCCACCCCCATTTCCTCAATGAGCTAAAAGAGGTAACTGGCTGAAATGGGGTGCACAGTTTTTAAGTTGAGGAAGTTCTTCCAAGAATGAGCGCCATCTGTTCTCCCCAATCCAAGGAAGGATGACCACTCTGAGGACCAGGGATGCTCAGACCAGGGAAGTAAGTATTCTGTCTTCAACAAGACGGATAATACCTCCTGCTTTCTTGGCACCACATCGTGCAAGGGATAAAAGGACACTAAAGCCTTGCTCTGTGCCAACTGCAGGCCTATCTCCATTCTCGCAATGCACATGAAACACGGTCTCTCCCAGCGAGGGAAAGCGGCTCTGATTTTACCAGGCCCTATAAACCTGAACGCAGCCACCTTACACTCCTCCTTCTGGGCCTCAGTTTCCACCCTCAGTGTGTTGGCCAGGGTCCCCAGTCTTACCGAGTTTCTAGGCCATCAATATATTCCTTCTTCTTTTTCCGACTCTCTTGGGCAGACTGTTTGTTCCGGATTTTCCGGCGGATTTTTTTCAGCACTCGCTCCTCATACTGAGAGTAAAATGGGGAAGAGGCTGAGTCAGTCTGGAGGATCCACTCTGCGGTCCAGACCCAAGAACTTCCTCCCATTCTCATCCCAAGTGAGTTACCCCAGGCTCAAGGGTTTGGGGACAGTTTCCTGATGACTCGAAGAGCAGCTCTTCTCTCCTCCCTAAATTCTGTAGGAGAATCCTGGGTCCTGATGGTCTTCCCAGCTTCCAGTCCCAGCTAGTAACTGGTGACCAGACTGTGCGCTGGTACAATTGCGCCCCCTTCTCACTGTCTATGCGACCAGCACCTTTCCCTGGGCCAGCCGGGATCAGGACTCTTCTGACACGCTCAGGTACTGATATTGGGTGAAATGGGCTGGGAGCCCACACCAGCTACTCAGTTACTGATCGTTGCCTGTGTGGAAGGTGTGGGAGTGTGGGAGCAGGCTACGCAGTTACAGAGTCTTAGATAACACCAGGTAGGGAAAATGTCAGCTGCCAATTCAAACATTTATGAAATGTGGTATGGTACAATCAAACAGGTCTGCAGGATACACCTGGACTTCAGGTCACCCATTTTATGAGCTCTGGCCTACAGGAGCTAAGGCAGAAGGAAGCTCGCAGAGCCAAAACCGTGCCTTGCCAGCCCCAAATCCACCCTTGGTTCCTGGCTGGCAAGCACTGCCCACCATGTTGGCTTTTAGGATGACTTTTCTGGGTCTGGTAGCCGACACATCCTAACATTCTAGTGTGGCAGGCCTCAAGGTGAGACTCATGGGTATGTAGCACAGGAAAGGGGGTGAGATCCAGGGGTAGGGGTCCCACTGACTCGCCTTGGTGAGGGGCAGCTGGGTGGGCAGCATGATGCCTTCTTTGGCCAGCAGCTTCTTCTCATCCTCTGTCAACACCAGTTCCTGACTCTGCCCGATCCCAGGTCGCAACAGGTGAGGGGCTGTGGGGTGATGCGGCTGCTAAGGAAAAACCAGGGAAAATGCATTGGGGGCAAAGACACAACAGACAGCCTCTGGGAAGTCAAAGAGGCATTCAATTTAAGAAACCATCAATCCATCCACTGCAGAGTCCTCACTGGCACTCAGGCTCAAAAGCACCCGTGCAAAGCCTCTTGACCCAGTGATTCCACTTCTGGGGATTCCACAGATCCCTCACACTCATGCAAAGTGATGTGCATACAAGCTTTTCATTTGTTTGACAAATAATCATCTGTCAGCAACTTACTGAGCATCCACTACATGTCAGGCACTGTTCTAGGCTCTGAACACTCATAACTACGCTGTCTGCAACAGCAAAGTATTGGAAGCATGAGAGTATCCCATAAATAGGTAACAGGTTAAATAAGGCATGACCCATTCATGCATAGAGTGGTATACAGCTCTGAAAAGGGATGGGCTCTTCCATCTATAGTATGGTGCAATTGCTGTGCTAAACCAACACTTTTTTTTAAAAGGGGGGAACAAAACAGTGTTATGTATGGTGTTCTACTTTCTAATGTTAAACTTATAAAAATCAGAAGGAAGCTCTTCAGAAGGCAACATTAGAATCTGTGGGGGGAGCTGGGTATCTGAGATCTGGGGAGAGTGGGAGTTTCTCCCAATACATCTGATTGTGCTTTTGGACCTAGGATTGTCTGAATGCACTTGCTTATTTGAAATATTTAATTAAATTTAAATTATGAAAGCTAAGCATTTTTTAAAAATGAAAGAATCTTGCATAAAGAGTGTTCAGGTCCCAGGCCTCCCCGGTGGCGCAGCGGTTGAGCGCTGGGCTGCGAGGCTGCCCGCAGCTGCTGCAGCGCCAGTTCGTTCCCCGGCTGCCAGTGAGGGTGCCACAAAAAAAAAAAAAAAAAAGAGTATTCA